TACGCTTCTTCAGGCAGAGGGAAACTCCGCTGCTGTTCTGAGTTTTCCAAGGTAGAAAACAAGCTAAAAGTGTGACAAGAAGTCTGTGAAAATGTCAACAGGTGGAAGTTTGGAAGATACTGGGTAGAGATAGGAGGGGGGGTGGGAATGTGTGAAGGAATGCAAATGGTAAGTTTCAGGTAGGTACCTGGGGAATCAGATGTCAGGCAGGTTGTAATGTGTCATAAATCCAGTGCCTATATTGAGTCCGTGATTTTTTGTATCCAGTAGATTGATGCAGTGAAGTTCGTAGGCTTGTCTACGAAAAGTGTTTTGTAAGTTCCCTTTGAGGATTAGAACTGAGAGGTCAGAGGGAGTGATGGTCTTGGCAGAAGTGGGGATCCACAGGTAATTGGAGATTTTTGTCTTTGATGGATGTTTGTGCCTGAAAGCTTGCAAAGAACTTTTTTTCCAACTATTTAGTTGGTCTAATAAAAGGTATTCCATCAACCCAAAGAACCTTGTCTGCCTATTGTCCTTAGACCAACACCGCTACTACCAACAACCCTACCCTAGCACACTGTATTTGTATTGTGACCAGGCCCTGAGCCCCAACAATATCAGTGTTAAATTTCCCTCTCTGTTACGTTGTCCTCTCTACTGCTCCAAGTCAGCTGCATTTCAAATGGGGGTTGATTGAACCCTGTACTCCTAGAACCCCATTCAGCAAAGCAGTTCAGCATACACTTCACTTTGGGGACTTTTGAAGTCAGTGGGACTAAAGCACATATCTAAGTACCTTATGGAATTGAGGTCATGGTCTGTCAAGTGCTTTGGTGTCCCTTAGAAGAAAAGGGTGTTGTGGGCCTGATTCTCTGTGGCCTCTTGTGTTTCTCTTTTTCTATATGGAGAGAGTGGATGCAAAATGCCTTTGAACCAGAGTGTCAGAGTTTGCACAAATGCAGATAAGTAAACATGCTTGTTACTTGGTAGAAGCACTCGGAGGTGTTATGCCTGAAAAAATGTACCGAGGACCAAAGCAGAGATGCAGAACTATTAATAAGCCTCGCATAAGTGAGCTGATGAAGCCTCTTGAACATCTCTCTAGGCATCAGAGACATCCAGGCCCCATTTTCTTATGCTCTCTAACCAAGGGTGAAAGCTTTCTTCCTCTTCAGAGGCTGGAGAAGATGAAGAGTTTAAGAGGCTTTTTCTTGTGCTGCCGCAAAGTCAACCTCATCTTTCTAAAAGCAGAAGGAGATCCCTAAAAGGTAGCTACTAGAATGAGAAGCTTTCAATGTCTAAGAAAGGAAGGGTTCACAAACAGCAAAGCAGCCTGGTTGTGGAAGATGGAGAGAAGTATTTTCTTCTCTGGAAACCTCTAGTGAGGTCTCATTCTTTGGAACCATGCAAGGCTCAGCACGCAACGCAAGGCCTGTGGCCTCTTCATGGAGGGTTTGCTGCTGTGGGGACACTTGATATCCAAAATATGCTAAGAAAACCTGGTGTCTGCAAGAAGCATAAAACTGGAGCTTATCTGGGTCCATGCACAGGTTAAAATACAGGCTAGCAATCATTTTATAACCTCCCCAGCAACCCAATGGATAATAGATGAAACCACCCCACTGCTTTCCTGAACAGGAGTATGAAGGTCAAGTAACAGAGATATTTCAGAACCGTCGCCACTATCCCAGCAGCCTCCATAACATCTCTTACCATCATTACTATATTCGTTTGAGGCCAGTGCCCCAAGCCCACAGACCACAGTCCCATTGTGCTAGCTGATCTACAGACATGGACATTATCCTCGTCTCTGCAGATGTAATTGTTCCCCCATCTAATCACCTTTGTTTTTAAAGGATGTTGTGCATTTTGCATGCGTGCATGTATGCAGGCATGTCTATGTGCGTGCACATACATAGGCAGATTCAATCAAAATATATGCATATATATGGTACCATCCCTGCATATAACCTATGCATGGATGCACATGTTACACATCACATAGGCCATGTATTTGCTATATTTTATCGATGTTAAAAAGAATCAAAGCCAAGGGGAAAAACAAGCAACTCGGAGATGCACATTTCTTCTGACAAACTCAAAGATTTGCAGCACAACTATCTCAGCCATATAGCTGAGCTCCGAGTAGCAGAAGCAGAACAAACAGTACCAAGTCATGCATCAGGTGCAGGCAAGAATACAGCCCTCAGTGGAACTCCTGTATTTCCCTCCTGCTGGGTTAGATTTGGCTCCCAGACAACAGCACATGGATGTTCTCAGCGGTAGGGGAGCCAGAAAGAAAGGAAAAAAAAATTGGAAAAACTGAACTTGTTCGTACAGCCTGGCGGAGAGCAGTGGGATTTCCTACCAGCTGGGCTGGAGTCTTCTGATCCTCCCAGCTGCGTTCCTGCTATGACGACAGCACATCAGACCTGTACCTCTGATGTCTTCCTCGAGTGGGAGAGCTACTGTAAAATTAACTCAGGATGGGACACCGGGTTTGTCACGTAAGTGTAAATGACTGGGGGAATAACTACTCCCCTTAGTATCAAGGACTCATGAGATAGACCTGATGGCCACCATCTTTTGCTTGATGACAGCCCTTTATTTGGAGGTCTCCGAGGTCTGTAGAGCACATGGCATCCTCAGCAGAGCTAATTTGCCTAGGGACAGCACCATGCTAACATGGCTATTCGGTTTGCAATACCTCTGTGCAGTGCTGCCTCGAGCTCTGTAGAGTCCACTACACGAACAGGAGAATATCTCGGGGGATCTCTGCCTTGTGACTGGCAGTCCTACCCCAAGTGCTTGCCCCAGGAGCCCAAATACCATCTGTCCTGTTCTATAGATAAGGAAACTGAAGCACACGGGGAGGGAGGGGATAGCCCAGGGTCCAACTTAGAAGAGCCACGCACAGGGGTTGGACTCCATGATCTTTCGAGGTCCCTTCCAGCCCTTAGTTTCTATGAACTCAAAACCCTGGAGGCTCCCAGTCCCGTGTTGCATATGCAAAGTTTTCTACCGCACGCGTCACAGTTGCTAACAAAAAGAGACAAAATGAACAAGCCATGATGCTTATGCTGAGCCATGTGCTTACCACTTAAAAGGTATTTCCAACCCTTTTCCTACAGCTCATGGGGAAGCCACGGTGGCCCTGAAGAGTGCACATCCAACAGATTTTAGCTACCACCTCTCCAAGCTCTCTGGTGAAGTTAGCAAAGATGACATGGGCACGACTCATGGGATGATGACAGTGTCCAAGCAGAGCATGACTCTCAAAGTTACCCCCCCAACGGAGGGCTTGTTCGACTTGATGGTCTTCGCGCGGCCATCAGACTCTCCGGGCCCCTATCATTGGGTGTGCTCCTATCAAATCCAGTGCCTGGAGCCCAACAGTAGAGAAAACCTACCTGAAAACCCCTTCCATTTCTGGGGCCTTCATCAAAAGGTGAAGGACTTTGGTATCGAGGACTGCAGCTGGAGAGGGGACCTGGTGGTCGCTGCAAGGGGATCATTGCTCTTGACTTTACAGACCACGCGGCCCTTGCTGGCCACATATGAGCTAGTTCACCAAGAGTTAGACGCTTCTCTGAGCAAGAAGTGCCTGGCATCGCAAGCAGAGGAAGACAAGCTGAGTTGCCACGTGCTGTGTCCTTTTCGGGGCTACTACCGGCTCTCGGTGTTTGTGAAAGACCTAGGAGACACCGTGTTCGAAAACGCAGCCAACTTCCTCATCCGTTGCTCCGGCCCCATCAATCGGAACGAGCTCTTCCCATCTGGCCTCAGCATGCACTGTGGGAGCGGGACTTACACCCGTGGAAGGGGCCTTTCCAACCCCAGCCACCCTGCCCCCATCATCACCACCATGCAGGGCAAGTGCAATATCACTTTCCACGCGCGGCCCGACGTCGAAGTGGCGGCCGTCCTGAGCAAGGACAACATCACCAACAACAAGTACCCCATGGAGAGATACGTCCTCCTCACTCACCTGAGAAACAAGGTCAGCGTGTGCATCCTGCTTCCTGAGCCAGGCATCTACAAAGTGGGGCTCTTTGGCAGGAACAAGGACCACAAGGACTTCGCCCACATCTGCGACTACATCATCCGCTGTTTCTCCAACCCCCGGTGGCCCCCTTTCCCCAGGGTGTACAGCCTGTGGAGGAGAGGGTGCATACTGCTACAGCCCCGAACTGGCGTGCTCCAGGAACAAAGCTGGGTCACATTTCGGGTCAAGATGCCCAAAGCCTACAAAGCTCTCGTCATTGGGCATGCCAAGACCGAGCTGAAGCCAACTCAGAGCAAGATCTGGGAGGGGGAAGTGCATACAGGGCCAGCTGGGACTCTGCTCAAACTGGTGGCTAAATTCAGCCAGCAATCTACCAGCATGGAGGTTGTCCTCTCATTTGATGTGGGGTCTTCAGGGTAAACGATCTGGGGGAGATGAGGAAAGACCCCAAGAGCCCAGGAAGGAAAGAAGAACTAATCAGACTGGAAGGGAAAAGAACAACCCCAAATACCACGTCAGGTGGACTCTCAACATTATACATGGTGCAGCCTCCTCCTTGCAGGATATTACAGCACTCCTCTCACTTGGACATGGCGTGTCAAACTGATCAGAGCCAGCACACCGAGGTCTCTTAATAGTTTGTGTGTATAAGAGGAATCTGTTATTCGGTTCCTCTAGAGGACGGTTATTTTACCACTTTTTACCCATGCGACTAACTGCAGTTTGTTTTATTTGACATCTCTCCCAGATCTTGGAAATGCATGTGGTTTCTTCCTCCTGAGAGCAGGGGGAAGAATAGGACCTGGAGCCAAAAGAAAAAAGCATCAGG